CTCTAACTCAGGAACCTTAGAAACAGCTGTAGAACCAGATACATGTTTAGACTGTTTTGCTTCCCTCAATCTTTACCAACTAACTTCAATAATTTCTTCATCTAAACCATCAACCTGCCTCTTAGACCCCATCCCGACTAGGCTGCTTAAAGATGTTTTACCCTTAGTCAGCACCTCTATACTAGATATGATCAATCTATCTTTATCAACAGGCTATGTACCACAGTACTTTAAAGTAGCTGTAATTAAACCTCTTCTGAAAAAGCCCAAACTTGATCCGGATGTTTTAGCAACTATAGACCTATATCTAACCTTCCATTTCTCTCTAAGGTTCTGGAGAAAGCAGTTGCTAAACAGCTGTGTGACTTTCTACAGAGCAATAGTTTATTTGAGGATTTTCAGTCAGGATTTAGAGCTCATCATAGCACAGAGACAGCACTGGTGAAAATTACTAATGACCTCCTTATTGCATCAGACAAAGGACTTGTCTCTGTACTGGTTTTATTAGATCTTAGTGCTGCATTTGATACCATTGACCATCAGATCCTATTGCAGAGACTGGAATATTTCATTGGCATTAAAGGAACCGCTCTAAGCTGGTTTAAGTCCTATTTATCAGATCGATTTCAGTTTGTACATGTTAACGATGAGTCCTCCATGCACGCCAAAGTTACTCATGGAGTTCCTCAAGGATCTGTCCTTGGACCAATCCTCTTCACTTTATATATGCTTCCTTTAGGCAATATTATCAGGAAACATTCCATAAGCTTTCATTGTTATGCAGATGATACTCAGTTATATCTATCGATCAAGCCAGATGAAACTCATCAGTTAGCTAAACTTCAAATGTGCCTTCAGGATGTTAAAACCTGGATGACCTGTAATTTTCTATGTTAAACTCAGATAAAACTGAAGTTATTGTTCTGGGGCCTAAGCACCTCCGTGACGCATTATCTAAAGATATAGTTTCCCTGGATGGCATCGCCTTGGCCTCCAGCACCACTGTGAGGAATCTTGGAGTTATCTTTGATCAGGACATGTCGTTTAAGTCCACATTAAGCAAATTTCAAGGACCGCCTTTTTTCACCTACGTAATATTGCGAAAATCAGGAACATCCTGTCTAAAAATGATGCAGAAAAACTAGTCCATGCATTTGTTACTTCTAGGCTGGATTACTGCAATTCCTTATTATCAGGCTGCTCGAAAAAGTCCATTAAGACTCTTCAGCTGATCCAGAATGCTGCAGCACGTGTTCTGACAGGAACCAGGAAAAGAGATCACATTTCTCCTGTTTTAGCTTCTTTGCATTGGCTTCCAGTAAAATCCAGAATAGAATTTAAAATCATTCTTCTTACCTACAAAGCTCTTAATGGTCAGGCACCATCTTATCTTAAAGAGCTCATAGTACCTTACTACCCCACCAGAGCACTGCGCTCCCAGAATGCAGGGTTACTTGTGGTTCCTAGAGTCTCCAAAAGTAGACTAGGAGCCAGAGCGTTCAGCTATCAAGCTCCTCTCCTGTGGAACCAGGTTCCAGTTTGGGTTCAGGAGGCAGACACCATCTCCACATTTAAGAGTAGGCTTAAGACTTTCCTCTTTGATAAAGCTTATAGTTAGGGCTGGCTCAGGTAGTCCTGAACCATCCCTTAGTTATGCTGCTATAGGCCTAGACTGCCGGGGGATTTCCCATGATGCACTGAGCTCCTCTCTCCTCTACTTTCTCTCCCTCTGTATGCAACCTTATCCCATTATTGCATGTTACTAACACAACTTCTCCCCTTTCTGGTAGTCTTGTGCTTTCTCGTCCCTCTCCTCTCTCCTCCTATCACTTCCTGCAGGTTTTCTGGCTCTGGAGCTGTGGAGTCTGGATCTGTGGCTGCGGGTCGCCTGCTGCCCCCGTGTTCCTGCTCGACACCCTCTACTGCAACGACTATTGTTGCTAGTCTTATTGTTATTATAATCATTAACATTACGATGGTTACCATTAACACTATTATAAATATCTGTACCATTTTTCATTTAGTTTATAGCAACATTACCTTCGCTGTCTGTACCTCTGTGTGTATATTGTGTAGGCTGCCTCCCTCCCTCTCTCTCTTACATCCCTCTCTCTCTCTCTCTCTCTCTCTCTCTCTCTCTCTCTCTCTCTCTCTCTCTCTCTCTCTCTCTCTCTCTCTCTCACCCCAACCGGTCGAGGCAGATGGCCGCCCACCCTGAGCCATGGTTCTGCTCGAGGTTTCTGCCTCTTAAAAGGAAGTTTTTCCTTGCCTCTGTCGCCTAGTGCTTGCTCTTGGTGGGAACTGTTGGGCTTCTGTAAATATCATCACAGAGTACGGTCTAGACCTGCTCTTTTATGAAAAGCGCTGTGAGATAACTGTTGTTGTGATTTGGCGCTATATAAATAAAATTGAATTGAATTGAATTGAATTGAATTGATTGTTATAGCACCACCATGAGGTCTATGAGGGCCATTTTTTTTGCCTGAGTAGTGGGTGGAATTTTGGTGAGTTTTCATCCAACAGTTATTGTTGCCCACTTTTAGCGTACAAAAAGAAGAAAAAAGAAGAATCAGAACAAAACCAATAGGGGAGCTGTTACATGGCGGGCCAGAACAAACCGTGTGAACTCATGTGTTCGCTTAGCTCAGTTGGTGCTGTGCGGGACTCCCGACTGGTAGGTTGTGAGATCGATTCCATCTTATTGTGGATATTTGTTTTCTCCTTTGTTAAACAAATTGAATAAAAGGACACTTTTGTACATGCTCACATAAACCATGTGCTGTAGTGTGCGCGTGTTCCGCATTCATAAACCTATGGACACTTATACTCATTTCCCTGAGAAAATTCAGGGGAATCCAATCACACGTTTACTGATGGCTTTTTCAGAGGTGTGTCAAGCAGACCAGAGACTCTTTTAAATTTCCTTCAGAACTCTTCAAAGTAAAAGCTCTTAATAAACTCAACATGAAGCATTGCTGCAAAAGATGCGCTTTTATCTTAGAGGCACAATCACTTAAGAGGAAGTGGTTATGTGAGTAACTGTTGCTGTCATGACTGAGATCTATTTCAGCACCAGCCGTTATCAATTTATGTATTTTACATTTTTCTGCTATTAAAGCAATATGAGAATTAAAACGAATACGATTTCCATCCACACCAGCGTTTTAGCTGTGTTTTGGAGTTGATCTCCGTCTACATTAACAACGCACATCTATTGGCCGTTCAGGCACGCTGGGCATGCGCGTGCCAATGTAAACATGAAGCAGATGGTCTCTTCCTAGTTACAGAAGATTTGGTGAAAGAATAAATTAATACAGACGAAGAATTAGACCAGTTTTTTTTTTGCGCGCACCAATAACGAGCTGAGACTGTTACTGAATGTGCAGAAAACACACTGGCATCACGTTTCTGCTTTGCATGACCTATAACACCCAATCAGAGAGCCGAGCGTGAGCGGCTGCGTCATCATTTCTAAAGTCTTCCGTTTTGGTCCGTCTTCACTAAAACGCCCTCCTGAGATTTGAAACGCAACGGGGTCGGCAGCGTTTCTAAACTTCTCCGTTTTAGGTTTTCGTTTTTGCCGTTGTTGTCTGGACGGGAGGTGCAAACATAGTAAAAGATCTCTGTTTTAATTCGAAAACGCAGTAGTGTGGATGGGGCCAAGGTAGTTAAACCGCTACAATGACAAACTTTTGTGGAAGCATAACGTTGACTTTGGTAGTGAAAAACAGTGAGATCTCTTTGTATTATTCAGGCATGTGATTGGCAAAGGGCAAAAAAGCAGGAAAATATACTGACTCTATTATAACATGGATGGTAAAGCAGGACCCATGACAATAACTTATTTGGTGGATGTGTTGCAGTTGGAATCAAAGACAAGTGTCTAATCCACTGCACCATCGCAACCTCTCAACAATAATTATTTTGTATTCATTTTTTACCAAACTTCAACAGCTAAATGTGCAACATGAAATAATTGAGTTTATAAATAAATAATATAAGTACTAACTTTCAAATTAGTTCAGTAGAAGTTAATAGATTATTTTTAATGAATAAGAGACAGCAGCAAAGGTTGTCGCCTGTTTAAGACCTGGTGGCTATTATAATATAACTGTTATACAAAGTTATATTATTCAGGAAACTGATCAAACACGAACGGACGAGAACGACCGCGACAGTTTCACGGGATCACGCCAGTTACACAGAAGCCATTGCCATGGTTACCTCGCAGAGCAAATCCTGTCACAACAATTCACAAGAAATTAATTTATAACGTGCCAAAACCTTTAACATAAGGACGACTTAAAAAGCAACCATTCATACAGAAAACTGCAGCCTATAGCCTACATGACTGATCAATCGACAACAACGTCAAAGTAAACAGACATAGCCTATACCGTTAACAAACAATAATCAAAACATACCCAATTTATCCGATCCTTATTGTCAACTCAGTGTTGGGCAAGTTACTCAGAAATAATAAGCATATTATTACCCACTATTTCCTCCTACTAGACAGTCTACATCTTCATTCATGTTCTGTGATTTCATTACATTTTCATTTAGATAGATCATCTACTTTGTGGAATCCAAACTTACATATTTTCAATCGTTTATCTTTGTTGACTTTTTTTCCCAATTGAACATTGCACTTTCACTAAACACTAAAAAGTGTTGACTGCTGGACATCTGGAATTAAAAAAAATGTGTTTTTTTTTTTCCCTCTCTTCTATTTCCTCTTTATTTTGTACTGGTAACCCTATCCTTTCTTCATTTCAATGTAATTCTGTTTATCTTGCCTCTTTAGGAGAGGCTTTTGTAAAGGCTTTTAGCTTTCTACCTCGTGTTTTTTCACATATGTGACTGACTTTTTTTTTTATTAAGTGTTTTAACTTTTGTGCACAAAAAATATTATGTGCAAACAAAGTAAAAATGCAGTAGCTGCCCAGTCAAAGGCCTGGTTGTTAGAGATTGGAGAGGGTATTTTGCCATTTGCCTACCTGCACTGGAGTTTGGGGGAAGCAGCTGAAGGGCCAGGATGCCCTGGCGTACCATGCTGACCAGACCCATATCAGCTGACACCATGGAAATAGCCTGCTTCCTGTGAGGCTGGTCATCCAGGAGGCCTGAATTTTGGACTGGCTCCACAGCCTAAATGGACATGAAAAATAAAGGTATTGGTTTACATCTTGACACTGAAGACTAACAAATACACAAGATTTGATGTCACAGCTTGGTGAGGTAACAAGTAAAACAAAACACATCAAAGGATAAGACAGGCATTGTGCTAAATGTTCTTAATATCAACCAATCTTATTACAAAAGTCAAACCAAAGTTGTGTTAGTCCATCTAAAAAGACTGTCTGCCTTCCCTACTCTCTCAGTGGCTCTCAGTCCCAAGCCTGCTTGTTCCTGCTGAAGACTGCAATCTTTAAAAACAGCTCACAGGGAAGGATTAATATGAAGTGTTTACATTACTTCTGATAAAAAATGTTATATTTTGTTTTAAAGAGTTTTGTTGTTTTTTATTTTACAATACTATATAAATACTGTTCATGAGCATTTGCCTGTTCGTGCTGCTGATGGAGGACTTGTGCGATGTTGCTCTCCACTGCTCTCAGCTGCTGATAGATGTGATGCAGGAACTCAGTGAGGTCTGTTTTATCAAGCTGACAGCCCTGTACCAAAACCTGCAGGGGAAATAAAGGCTGTCAGAGGACTGCAGCTGTATGAATCACATGGGAACAGGTCAGGGCTCTACGCTTACACAAGTACAGACAAACATTTATAGTTGGGTTTTTTTGCATTAATGCAGCTCTTTGTTAACATTAAACATACACACATACGCTCCTTTAACTAAAGAATTCTGAAATACAAGATGTCCTTGGGACGTAACAAATGGCAACATTCCTTTTTTTATGCTTCATTAATGCATTCTTTTCAAACAGCATAGAGGCGGCTTACAATTCGTTTTGGGGTTTGAAAGTATTTTGTCCAATCTGAATCCAGTATTCAAACCACTAAATAAGATTTCAGCGATATTATTATTTCTATATATATGCATGCCAAATGCTCACTGTAAAGCTCTGCAAATACAACATATGTCAAGTCAGTATTAGGAAACAATCAGCATTTTCCACTTAAATGTAAAGCAAAATGAGTACTATCCTAAAAAAAGGTGACACCTCGAAGTTCAGTTCAAGTCCAGTTATAATGCTTATATTCCAATAAGGAAGCATGTTGTACAGCGGGCATCTAAGAACTAGATTACAGTAACTGTAATACTCTTTAAAGAGCAACTTAACAGCCCTTGAAAATCTTGATTTTGCGCCGCTTTCTAACTTCACATTAAAGTCACTCTGGAATCCATTTTTGATCTTTCATTCCAAGGCCCCTGAGCCTTTCAGGACATTAGGATACTTTGTAAAACACCAGTAAACAAGGTATGCTACTGTTATGACCTGATGGGAAGTGAGACCAATAATTGAAGAATATGCCAAGATGGTGATGAAGACTTTAGGCTTGAAAAGGTCATCAGTTCCAGGGACTTTAAATGGCTGAGCCAGACCGGCCAGACACCTCGACAAGGCATGAAAGACCTCGTCGAAGATCATCTCTCCTGTGCTGTCATCCTGCAGAACAGAAAACAAAACATACTGAGAATTCATTTCTCTTCTCAGTCAAAGATAGGCTGACACACAATATTTAACCCTGAACAATACTGCATTATCAAGGAAGATCTCATATAAGAAAGTAAAAAAGCCAGACAAACCCAGAGAAATCTGTCATTTTATTCAGTGTAACGTTTCATTTGGTTGCCTGTCAATGGCATCGTAAGCCGTTTGCACATGTGTCATTGCTGTGGTTGTCTGCTAGAAGGTGTCATACACTAGACTAGACTATTTATCCGGTATTAAGCCACCTTTTTAAGATACCCTTCATATGTTGGTTGTTTTTAACTATGTATTTTAACCAGATGAAAAAAAGCTCAGAAAATGTCAGCGGTGTGTCAACTGTGTCCGCTGAACAGTGTCAAGGAAACACTGACTTTTAATGTGAAACTGCTTTATTCAGCTTTTTATATGAATGAATGAATGAATGAATGAATATCCAGCAAAATGCCTTACATACACATGTGAGAGTCTTGTCATTCAATGCTTGTGCACAGTCAGTATCAAACAGATGGCAGAATTCACTCTTTAACAACATTAACTGATGAAACTGATGTTTATTTTTGGTTTAACAGTTAAGCATGAGCAAGTACAGTTGTCCACATCAATTATATTTATTTATCTTGTCAGTTTAAAAAAATCCTATATATGTACCCAATGTCATCTGGCTGCTTCAGATTGGCGGTGGTTATTTCAGGAAAGCGACCTGTCCGGAGTCACTCTAACGTACAGTGACAGCAGCTCTTTGTCTTAAATGCCCCTCCTGTGCAGCTTCGCACATCGTGAACCTGTGACTCATCCTCACACATAAACAGTCACGCTGCAAAGGCAACTCTTGGCCTTCTGAGCATTGGTGTCCCCTGAGATGTTCACTGTGTATGCACCAGTAGTGAATCTCAATCTACACGCGCAAATACCAGCAGGTCTTGGTTACGTGGTCGAGCAGCAAACTATGATTCGTGTACCTTCAAACGGGAGCAGCATTCACACCCAAGACACAGAATCAACTGGGAGAACTAGTTTTAAAGGTTTATTATGGTTATTCTGTAAATATTAGAAAAACAAAAATAAATATTTTCACCATAAGCAAATAACTGAAACTGTGATTAATAGAAGTCTTTACATCGGCTTCCCGTCAGCTTCGGAATTCATTTTAAGGTTCTTGTTTCACATATAGAGCTGTGCATGGTCCGACGCCTGGGTACATCTCTGACCTGCTCCATCCTTATATCAGCAGTAGGTGTTCTGACCTGTACTGGTCGGTCCTCGCGCTCGACAGATAACAAAAGGTGACCGTATCTTTGAAGTGGAACTGTGGAACTTCCTATAGGACTCTTATTCAGACTGGCCTTTGTCTCACCTCATGATGTCTAATTTGATCAAACTTGTTTTTAAAGCCTGTAGTTGCTTATATTTTATTTGTTACGTTTACTATTTTATGGTCTATTTTTAATAAACTTACTCTTGTGAAGCACTTTGACTTTGCTCTGTAAGAGGTGCTATACTAAATAAACGTTACTTACTGAATGTGTTTCTTCATTTCAATCTCATTTGTGTCAACTGCATTCATTCAGGAAACAAGTTACCAACCATTAAGCTAATGACACACGGAGCAACTTTTAGAGTGATGGTGCTGGACAATGTTGCCATCAATGGTAATGAGTAAAGATTACTACCCTTCTCCCACCACCCCGCCCCCGCTATCTTCAAAATATAGTCTGACTTGCCACCGGCAAGATTGCACAGCAACATTGCTCAAGAAGTTGCTCCCGTGTATCATCAGCTTCAGACTTTAAGTCTTACCACAATCCCTGTGGAAGGGCTGAGGTCCAGCTCAATGATGAAGCGGTACTCCGGGCAAGGAAGGCGGCCCGAGTGGACGGCATCAGCATACAAGTGTATGTGGTGGGGGAAATCTGGCTGCCATCCTTTAGGTAAGCAGCTCAGCAAGTGTAACTCATTCCCTGAGTTCTGCTGCAAATGAAGTGAGAGCCAAACATGACATCAGTGACCTATCACTCAAAACTGTGGTTCAGGAATTTCTCAATTTATTAAACAAACATGTTCATTTATTATATACATATACACTCACCGGCCACTTCATAAGCTGCACCTGTTCAATTGCTTGTTAACACAAATAGCTAATCAGCCAATCACATGGCAGCAACTCAATGCATTTAGGCATGTAGACGTGGTCAAGACAATTTGCTGTAGTTAAAAGTGAGCATCAGAATGGGGAAGAAAGGGGATTTAAGTGACTTTGAACATGGTTGCTGGTGTCAGATGGGCTGGTCTGAGTATTTTCACACACAGCCATCTCTAAGGTTTACAGAGAATGGTCCGAAAGATTAAATATCACAAATAACATTTTCAAGTGGCCTTTTATTGTGGCCCGCCTAAGGCACCAATTCCAAAAAATGTCGTAGTCACTATACAAACACATGGAAAATAGGGCCCAGGTTGAAAAATACCCTCTCTTGCAGAGGTTCATTCACTGCTTATCTGGTATACAGTGGTCCTCAGTCTCAATCATTAATTGTTCATTGCTGTTTTCATAGCATTAATTGTTGCATTTATTAAATCATGTGTGTGTTAGCTGTGTAATAAGTAGTTTCATATATAAAGAAGTTGATTTTGTTGTTTGTTTTTAATGAAGTCAGTCTTTACGAGTCAAGGGCTCAATTCATTAATTGGAAATGTTCTTTTCCCTTTTCTAAGGATGGTACCCCAGGGTGAATTTAATGCATGTTAAATTCTATTATTTCTGATGGCCGAACTTGAGTGCAATCACTCTACTTCATTTTTTTTTTTTAACCAATTAACGTGTTTACAGTGCATGTTTTTGATGCCCCTTAAGGCATTTACGCTACAACCTTAATGTTATCTCTCATTGCATGTAATATGCATTATATGCAATGAGAGAATTTGAGGATTACACACAAAAAGAACTATATTCTAATGTATATACTTTAGTGTTTCAGTTGTAGCCAAATAGCCACTTGTCGATCCTGTGGCCGCTGGGTCACCATGAGGACAGGAAAAGGACATGACAGGCATGATCAACTCACCAGCTCAGGCTTTGAGGCTGGCCAGATGACTTGGTTAAGTTTCCCCAGGAACCAGGCCAGACGCACATTCCTAGAGATCCGATACTCCTCCTTCATCAGCAGATAGATCTGATCAGCCTCCTCCACCTTATGAGGAGAAACATGCAGTACATGAAAGTGCAATGTTCAGAGTTTTGAGCACTACAATACTAACTTACTTTGCTTACTTGTGTGAGTTGCCAAGTTTGTTGATAACGCTACTATATGATATACTTGCATACAAGTTTTTAGCACAAAATTCCATTTAAAAATCAGGCAGTTTAAAATCTATCAAATTCCATCGCTTGCAAAATGTATCAGCAGCACAATATGATTTAAGAATAGTAACTCAGTATGGCTAAGTTACCCACAATCCATCTTCTTCAATCACATGTAAATTATCTTCCTGCTGGCTATAAGTGTACCACTTGATGTTAATATTTTATAACTTGCAACGCATCTTTACTTGTTACTTGTACGCCGTTCACCAAAAGAAAGAATTAATTTACAAAACGTCAAATAGAATGGAATAACTAAAATGCATGTATACCGTTGATCGAGGCAATACTAAATTTCTTTCTAACTTCAGCTAATTTGGTGCTGGGTGAAAACTGCATTTACCAAGGCACTGCACGGTCGTTCATGTGCATTCATTTAAGCACTAACTTATGCCGACACGCCAGAGACTAACTTTAATATAACGTTAGCTACAGACATAACGTGGCTCGTGACAACTTGCAACCAGGCTGTTATTGCTAACTTAGCTGCTGAGCTAACGCGCGGCTAACACACGTCCATTCGTCCAGAGGAGTCTACATCCACAGCTCTATTTGGTGCCGACTGTTTTTATGTATCACTTTACACTGGACTTTATAGGGCTCTGGCTGTAGGACAAACAACCAAATGGGAAATGTGCATTTCTTCCGAACCACTCCATGCCCTGCGCTTCTTCCTGCAGAATAAAGCTGTGTTACCTCATTGTCCTGTCTCTCTGCCATGCCGTGTGTAGCATAGGGACTGCAGGGGTGTTAGAGCCTCGGCTGACGAATATTCACTTTGGTATGTGCAAAGTAATATGTCTGGATACTTGTTTATCATCTGCAGTGTCTGTTGATCAGATGTTCGTAGTGCAGTGTCAGCTCGCCCAGGGTGTTAACGCACACATTTTCCGGTCAAATCTTACAAAATAAAAGGTGTTAGGCTAACATGGAAACGTGCATATTTGTGTCTTCGGGTAATGCAATCCAAAATGTAATTTCTATAGCACACATGTGGTAAATATAAGAAATTACATCAGCCGTTTCATAACAATCAACTACCAATAAATATTATATCTTTTATATATTTTTATTTTTCATATGTTTTAAAATGGTTTGATAAGATGATAAGAAGACATTTAAACATGTCACAGTAGAATAAGAACAGGTGTCATTGACAAAATGAATTGCATTTAGCGGCTTTAGTTTCAGGGTCCTGGTACTGCACTGGCTTACTGTCACACTGTCGAGGATTACTGGGTTTACTGTTATCAATAACTAGGGTTGTGCGATATGACCAAAAACGCGTTAATCACGTTAAAAAAATCAGATAATATCAATAATTATTATGATAAATGTCAAATCATTATTTCTGTCAAGTTAAAAGGCTGTTTTTTGCTTCTGAGTGAAAGAAACCACATGGTTTTAAACTTTTCTTTATGATCAGAACAAACACTTGATGCCAAACAGTGGATCACTTAACCAATTTGAGGTAGAACATTCAAAACAATTATGATTTTCCTCAACAAAATAAATTAAGTGTTAATTCAGTCATGATTCAAATGAATTAAATCAAACATTTATTGAACATTTGTCATACTGTAGTAATCTTTACTCATTACCATTGATGGCAACGTTGCCCTGCACGATTGCTCTAAAAGTTGCTCTGTGTATCATCAGCTTCAGACCACAAGTTTTGGTCCTTGATCCAATTTATTAAAGCTTTTATTTTGAAATTACATTCCTTAAACTTCCATGGATCTTGTTTTTAACCGGCACGTGATCCGGAAATGTCCTCGCGTCTGCAGAAACTGCAGGTCAGCTGACTAGACAACTATAACTAGTGAAATACCAAGTTAGTAGTGAAGACTGTTAGAGAACTGGCTTTAACATCAGACATTAGTCTACGTCGTGAAGTAAGACATTAAATAATATGCAATGACATTCACATTTATGTATTTGGGTTTTTTACTTTTGTGCCAATCTGACAGGCTATTTCCATCCAGTGCTACTGCTAGTGGTTAAGGGATAGCCCAGAGTTCAGCCTCCCAGGTAGCTCAGAGTCAGAGCCTATGTCTGAATATTTACTTGTAGAAGGTCCATAGTTCTGTCATCTATGCTCTCTGTTCCTCTTTGTGAATTAATGGTAAAATAGATAGAGAGAGATGGCTCCAGCCCCTCGCGACCCTGTACACAGGATAAGCGGCTGACGACGGATGGATTTCTTGTCCCCGTCAAGGGGAGATATTTATTATCTTTATCTATTGTCAATTTATATTCTATACATATATAAAAAAGGAAGACATTTAAACATGAGTTTCTAGAAGTTTATACCTTGTAAAATACTTTCTGGTCAAGTTGGGTTAGGATAGGAAAGATACTGACATTATGTGCTCCTACTTTGATCTGTATGAAGAAACTATAGTCTATTTATTCTGGCATTGTATTTACACCAAGAAACTGTGGAAAGATGTGAATTAATTTGTAACTGATAGCCTAGTATTTACTGTGATTTTGTACATTTTAAACCTAACTGTATAAAAATGTCATTTTTGGTTTTACAAATGGTGAATGTTTATTATAATTATATCCACAAATTCACTAATACCAAGCCAAATTCACATAAGTAAGAAATTAAATTATATAACGTTATTGGAAAAATAACCTCGTTCCAAAAAAAGAAAGCTATTAAAACGGTGAAATTATGCATTTTACACAATAAATTTGTATGGGGGTTTTGGGAGTTTCAGTGGACCCAAAGATCGCTATGGACCCGAGTACAGAGAGTAGATTAAGTGTACTTCTCTGTTTATTATCTTTTCAAAAATAATTGTAACTCAATTATTTGCTCAACCCCTCAGCCTGTTTTTATTTTCCATTTAACTCTTTTAACCCTGATTGTACACTGCACTGTAACTTTTATTATATTTTAATGTG